GGAGGTGCAGGAGAGGAGCAGGCACTGCTCACACACCCTGAGCTCAGCCCTCTGCCCCAGCCAGTACAGCCCAGCCTGCAGCACTGCCCAGCCAGGGGAGCCAACAGTGCAGGCTCTGCTCTGGTCTGGAAGAGCACCTCCCCATGCTGGAAACCTGCTCTGGGCAGGGGCTTCTAACCCAGAGCAGAAACAATGGCAAACACTCAGCATTTATACCAGACTGAGAAGGAGTAAGGAAAAAACATCCAATACCACCACCCAAAACCATCCAGGACTTTTCTCTCCCACTAATGCAAGGGATTTCCATGTAGAATTATGGACAGATGGTTCATTTCTGGGATTTGGGCCTTTAAAGGTCTGTTGTCCACTCTGATGGGAAAGTTGCTCAGTGCCTTCCTGACAGTCAGTAAAATTTTCCTTTAGTCATAGCCAGGGGCACAACACCTGCTGTTCCAAACATAGCATCCTCTGCTGGAGTGCCAGGAGGGATCAGCAGGGTAACTCTAGCAAGGCAGCAGGACACAGATTAGCAGTGGCAGGAGCGAAGAAAGGCCAGTGACATTACCAAGGAACTTGGCACGTGGCAAAGGCAGACAACCAGAAAGCGACACAAAGGCACCTTTCTTTAGTGACAGGGAAAAAAAAAAAGAAACTGAGAAGTGGGAGCTGTGGGTCACTGCTTATTGTGTAACCAAAATTATCTCTCCTTGCAAAGTAACTTGTGTACAGTCAGCAGCTTTCCTGCAGATGGGCAGTGCTGTGGAATACATGGGAACCTCAGGGGACATCCAGAAATAGTCAAGGATATGCTTTTCCTTAAGTCTCAGACTAATCTTTATAATGAGCATAGAGGGGGAAAAACGACTGGAAACATGAACACACCACTCAAATTCATTCCCATGGCCTAACAGCAGAAATATTTCACATTTCAGCCGACAACCAATCATTCACAATATTAATTTGCTGCCTGCTTATTTGACAGGTTATTTTTTAATCAAAGAGTGGTGTTTGATTGCATTTCATTAAACATACACTGAATAATGTAAACACCACTTTTTTTCCGAAATACATTTTCATTTATCTGAAAGCACCCAGTTAGCAGTTAGACTTGAAGAGATTCCACAGTGATACAGATCATGCACCAGAGAAGTTAATCACTAGCCCCAATTACCATTAAAAGGACCTACCATGCATGCAAATTAGACCCAGGAGTCAACAGGCTGGGGTTTAATGTCACGGGCATCCACCAGATTCACCGAAGCCCTGTTACTCCTGTTAATGTTTTTCCTATTTGTGTCATTCTGCAGCACAGGGTGAGGAGTTAAAGCAAAACAGAGCGGATTAATCAAACAAAACCACCAAACGAGTCAGCTTCAAGTAGCACAAGGGAAAATTAGTGGTAGAGGAAGAAACAAGATCAGCAAAGGCACAATACTGACAAAAGCATCTGCAACAGCCAGGAGGCTGCACTGCCCTGCAGTTGCTGCTCAGGATTCCCAGTCTCCCTGGAGCCTCGGGGCTGTCACAGCTCACAGGGACCCCCGGGCACAGCTCAGCCTCAGCACAGGGACAGGGACCAGCAGCTGCTCAGCTCTGCCCAAGGGAGGGCAGGGCCCTGCACACCTTGGCTGTGCCCAGCAGCCTGAATTCAGCTCACCCTCAGGTCCCCAGAGCCAGGAGACAGCACACACTGGGGGTTACACACTCTCGAGGTGAAATGGTTTTTCTCTTTTTCTCAGAGAATCAAAGCAGCTACTCACTGAACTCTGAGTTTTGCTTCACTTCAGCCATACACTGGAGTTAGGGCTGCCTGGACCACTTCAATGAATTTTGAGTGGCAAAAATAACAAGTACTTGTTAATTTTCATGCCTTGGTCTATTTTCTTTAGAAAGACATTTTCTGCCAAGCTCCTGTTGATCAACATTCTTGTACCACTTCCTGCATCCATTCCTGCTGCATCCTTGCAAAACATCTTAGAACTGTGCTGAGGGACCTAGAAAGTTCACTTTGTTGATACTGGCTCAGGCACAGCCACCTCTTGCCAACTGGAGCAGGGGAGCAGAGTGCATGACTTGAGCAGTCCAATGTGAGAAAGGTCCAGTCAGGTCACAGCCATTCTCCAGGGTGCTCCCCCAGGGAAAGGCAGGACACAGCAGGAAAGGAAAGGCAGGACACAGCAGGAAAGGCCTGACCAGGCAAGTTAACACAGACAGGCTGGTGCAGCAGGACATCTTCCCAATTCATGATCTATGGAAATATTTTTCTCCAAATCACATTTTTATTGCCCTTGTTCAGTGATGGGGGTTTTCCTTTCAGCTGACTGAAGTTTAATTCTTTCCACTCAAATCACCTGGATTTTCTGACATTATCAACAAGGTGCTGAAGGTTATTAAGGACAGCCTTCTGCAGGGTAACAACAGTGTTTCCTACCACTGCCTCTTGTTTCGATGAACCCTCCCCTTCCTTCTCGAAATTACTTCCCAGGGGAAAACCCAAGTTATTTTGAGGCCAGGGAGAACTGGTGGCCAAAGCATTAACAGACTTTTTAAAAGGCCACTGAAAAGGTACAACAATGCAACAGAAATTACACAGAGCCTGCTGAGCCACATTTGCACATAACCCACAATACAAAAAGCTGTGAGAAGTAAGATTTTTTTTTTTTAATTAGAAAGTTGTCTAAATTTGGGTTTAGAAGGCACACGTATAACTGTGCATTTCTCTCCTTCCTCTCCATCTCCTTGGTCCATGCCCATAGTCCACCATCAGGACTGAATGAGTGTTGCAGAACTGAGTGCTGCTCACCACACTGCTCACACTGCTGGACACGGACACACAAGAGCACATGTACTTCTCGTGGTGGAAACAATAAAGCAGTGTGAGAGACTGAAGAGAACAAAGTCTGAGCACAGTTACACACTTCAGGGCCAGGGAATGCTGCCTGGACAAGGGTGACAGAACAAGCACTTTCTATTTTTACGAACTCATCCACTTACAAGAATACAGCAATTGCCTGCATTTGCTCCTGCACCAGAAAGCAGCATTTTGTTTTTATTTCTAGTCAGCCAAGTGCTGAATTACAAAATAATGCCTTTATGTGGAGAGGAAGAAAAAAAGAAAAGGCCCTTTGCAGCCCCCAGGTGAGTAACCAGCACGAGGGCACCAGCCCCCCTTCCCCTCAGAGGCACTGGGAGCACTGGGCAGGGAGAGCAGCTCACTTTTAAAGGTTCCTTCTCCGAGGCATCGCCCGAGGGGTCGCTGCTCTTGTACTTGCGCTCCTTGTCGCGGTGGTCGATGGTGGAGTATCCATCTGGGGAGAGAACAGCACAGTCAGGCAGCAGCACCAACAGCAGCACAGCCAGTGCTGACGTGAGCACAGTCCTGCAGCAGAGGAACAGGAAACCAAACCATCACACCAAACCATCACACCCCGCCGATGCCGGCAGCCTGCGGCTCACGGGCTCCAGCTCTGCAACTTCACTGTTACAGCTAAAAACAAAACAGAGGAGCCCTTTTTTACAGCACTGCCAGATGCTGGCACTCATTAGCAAGCAGCACTGTTTTCATCCCAGCCTGCTGCACTTTTTAGTGTGCCCAAGGAAAGCAGCCAGTTGTCATCTCATGCCCTGTGGCTAATGAGCTCCAAATTCAACCCAAATCCCGACTTCCTTGCTTAGCAGCCTGATTAATTGGCTGTGTTCATTCTCTGAATGCTCTGCAGCATATTCCCACTCTTCCTGAGCCTGACTGCTGGCAGGACATGATGATAATTTGGAAGAGTCCTCATAAGAGCACTGAGAGAAAGTGCCTGTTGAGTTGGAGGAAATGTCACTGCAAACCCCGCTGTGCCTGGGCTCACTTTCATTACCAAGGAGCACCTGTTGGTGCCTTTTCTCTTGACAACGAAGGAAGAGCATGAAAGCTTGATGAACACAAGGAATAAAAGTGTTGAGAGGGTTTTATGAAGAAATGGCTCTAATTATTTCAGAACCTTTCCTTTGAATCACTGTCAGCCAATGCAAAACTTAATTTATTTTCATGATGCATCAGATTTCCCTCATTATCAGTGACAAATAGATCCTCACCTGCTCTGCTTTGACAGCATTGTGATCTGGAGTAAATGACACCCAAATTTATAGCTCCCTATAGGCTTTTGTTTTCCCCTATGTAATTGAGGGATCATTAATGTTTTCCTATCCTGACAAACTGGGTTTTTAGAACATCACAAAAAGGTTTTACATAAACTATCAAAACACTTCCCTCTCCGTTTATTACTTGCCTGCAACAGGCCATTAAGAAAGAATGAGTGATGTGTTTGTGGGGTTCCTGTGGCATAAAGAGGCACCATTTGCCCACATGACACCTGCACACACAGCCAGTGACTGGCACCAAAGCCCATCCCAGAGCTGCCCATGGCCAGGTCAGACTGAAAAGAGCTGCAGTCTGTGCACACAGACCTGCAGCAAGAACCTGAGGCACCAAATATTTATGACATCCCGGGCAGTAACAGATTATTTAACCTCGCTGCCTAAAAATAACTGAAGCATTCTGGAGTTATTCATGTAGCACAGAGACACAAAGCATGAAAACAGTTGTTACACAACACTTGACTTACAATTACTTGTTGACAATGAAGATGCCTGACATTCTTGGCTAATCCTTTTGAACAAAAAGGAGAAAAAACAGCTGCACACCCAGCTACCCAGCCAGGGCTTGCAGGGGAACGTGTGACCAGTAATTCTCTTTCAGATGACAGGCATGGAACACTGCTAGTAAGCCATGGCCTAATCTAAGGATTCATCATTTATTTAGGACTAGATAGGTCACATAGGTATGTATTAAATGATGGAAACATGGTGACTGCCCCAAAGAACCAAACTTGCAGCAACTGAGTGGCAGCTTGTCACAACCCAGCGTTAATTGTACTCCCAAGGATGCACTGGATCACTTTGCATTTTTGTCGTGCCATCATCATGGGAGATCCACAAACAGTTTTAAAAGGAGTTGCCAAGATACAAAGGAACATTTAACCTTCCCCCAGAAAGCAACAGCCACTAAGTGAAGGATGGCAGCTGTGATACTCCCAGGGAGCAAGGTCATTAGTAGAGACTGCAACCACAAAGAAAAGAGAGCACAACAGATCTTTAATACTACTAAAAAATTAAACCCCCATGCTCAGCCAGGACACAGCAGCAAGAGGAAGATCCAGCTCTGGCACAGTGGCAGTAATCTAACAACTAAGAGGGCCAAGAACTTTGCTCAGCAGGTTTTGCAATCCCTCCTGCTGTGTGTGGTCTGCGAGCACAGCAGCACGAGTGGGGTGTGTGCTTCCAAAATCCACACACTGTGCTGTGACCCTGCCAAGATAAGCAGCAACAGAGACAGGCACTTCATGATTTGATCTGATAAAATGAGAAATATCTTGAAGGAGATTGCATCAGAGAAGTAACACCTCACTGCCCCAAGGACCAAAGCTCTGCAAAGAAATTAGAAATACTGCTTCTCCCATGTTTCAGATTCATTCTAAGAAGCCATCAGAATTAACTGTTTCTGTGGCACAAGGAAGATCTACACAGAGCTTGCTGCTGCACAGCAGAAGTGCTCACTCTGGAGTGCAAAAAGAACAAAACCTCCAAAATACAACAGTCCACAACAAAGCTACAGTCAGGAAATACAGCTCCTTATGTTAGTATGCCCATAAGACAAAAAACACTAAGCATTTGGAAGAGCCTGAAGGAAAAAGATGAAATTCTAAGTTGCTATTCCAGTTCCCTGGAATTAAGGACAGTAAACTGGATAAACTGATTTAGTCTCTTCTCAGCTGAGCTCTGAAATAGCACAGGGTTAAGAGCCAGAGTCACTCAAGAGCTGCAGTCATGAAAACCTGACAGACACCATCTCCTAAAGGTGATAAGAAGACTGGAGAGCAGAATGGCCCAGAGAAGCTGCCTGATGCTGTGCATATGCTGTTAATCTGCATTTGGTTTTGCACTCAGAGCTGTACCAGGAACTCATGACAGCACAAGGCAACAATTAATACTGAGACTACCAACAATCAGCACTGCCCAGACTGCAGCACCTGCCAGCACAGCCACCCTGCCAGGCAATCCTCTTGGAGGGTGTTTTCTTCCATTGTGAGAACAAATGTTTCAGTGTTCCCTTAGGCAAAATACATATGGACAGTTGATTCCTGGCAGGTGGTGTCTCATTTTTCTAAGAATACAAAAGGTAATAATATACCTGTTATTTTACTTCCTGAACGTGCCTGGCTTTCAGCTTGGTTCTAACTTCCTATTTTATTCAGCTACAATGACAAATAGCAGTATAATATCAAGCTGTTTGATCTGGAGGCATTAATACAGGTATATTTAAATAAAAATAAAGTCAACTGGAAGAAATAAAGCAAATTCTTGAGAGACCATATAGCACCTTTATCTACCTTGGTAAAGAAAAAACTCCTCCCAGTCTTACACTACAGAGTTTATCAATCTCAAAGCACATCAGTGCCAGTCAGCAGCTGAGCTCAGCCTAAAGGAAAAGCCAGGCTCAGCTGGGTGCAGGTCAATGAAAAGTGGAGCCAGGAGTATCACACATACTAACCTGTCTTGGGTATTACCTACAAAGCAAAGGCAGAAGAGATTTAAACACAAAAAACACCCTGAAGTAAATTCACAACTCTTTTTCTTCCTTTCTGAATCCCCAGACTTGCAGATCTGTAACAGGGAATGCAGCTGCCTCAAGGGCCACAGGAGGAAAGGTGGGTTGCTGTGTCTCCAATATATAAGCACAAAGCAGTGCAGAAATTGGTGTACACTCTACATGTGTACAAAGAAAACAAAGACAGGAAAAAAAGACAACAACCAATCTTTTGTGAGGTAATGTTCTGTTTTTAAATGTCAGCTTTATCCACCTGAAATAATATCTCCCAGAGAAATAGCTGAACTTTCCTGTGAGTGACAGAGTGCTCTATTGGAGCAGACAGAGTTTGATTTATGAGTGAGTTTACCTGGGCCGAGCTCATCCATAGGTATCATATCACGGCTCCCAGACTTCTCATTATCTGTAACACAGAAACATTGAAACCACCTGAGTTACATTTGCTTTGCTCAAAACCTGGTACTTCTGAATTAGTCACAGAACCAGAGAGGTCCATGAAATACTGAATGCAGAGATTATTGCAAAAAACTCCCCACCAATTCAACTGTTATACATTCAGAAAGGGAAGTCTGACTGAAGTTCTCCAGAGGGCACATGTAATCCTTGTATTTGCTGTTTTAGCACTGTAATACAGAACTCTCTCTCTCCAAGTGACAACAGAAACCACAACTCTGCTTTGGACCATCTACCACTATTAACAAGCTTCTCCCTGGTCTCTCCAGAACAGAAGAGAGAGCAAATAAGGAAGGTGCAGCTTCTCAGGGCACACAGCCCAAGCCAGCAGCCTGCTGAGCCAGCACAAAGCTAATCCACAAAGAGAACAACAAGTTTCTTGTCACATCAGCAAACTGACCCAATCATCCTTCATCTGCATCATCTTCCAGGTCTGATCAAAGACAGGGAAGGTGGAAAGAGGCAGGCAGTGTGGGGCTGTCATTTCTGCAGCAACCTGCACTTAAACCAGATAAAGGGCACCACGAAAAACCTGCTGTGAGAAACCAGAACTAGCCCAGGGCAGAGCAACCCCACTGAAACCAAAGCTGGAGCTACACCAGAGTTGGCATGGAAAGCACAGCCAGGTTTAGCTGGAGCTGGGATTAACTCACCTCCCACAGAACCCCCTGCACAGCAGAGGAAGGAGCTGTGCCAGAACAGGAATGCTTGTTCAGAAAGGAACAGACTGAGCAGGGGGAAGGTCAAGCCCATTCCCAGGGAGATTTAACTGATTATGTTGCATAAAGTTGAGAAAACACTACCAATAATGTAATTCCATAAGGGAAGGAATATCATCCATATGCAGGTAATAAGGACTGACCATTTGGGGACTGTGGGGTAAAGTCACCACACATGATGCATTTTTACCCCCTCATGCTGCAACACAGTTGCAGCAAATCCAGAAAACAAGAAAGCAAAGCAGTGCAGAACTTGGGCTAAAGAGCAGAACTGACCTTGACTCTTCTCCACCAGAGGCAGGGTGCTGTCATCATAGCCAGACCTGCCAGCAGGACCCTTGGAGCCCTTCGGAGCCGCCGACACGGACTAGAGACAAAACCCACGTGAGCACAGAACTGCTACTCAGGGAAATGCAACCAGAAAAATAAACAAACCAACACTATGGAGAGAGATTATGGATGCTGCTAAGCATCCCCCCTGCTGTTGATAATACGGCACTGGAGTATTTTTCTATTTTCATATAGATTTGCTGGTGGAATTTTCTTCCTGTTATCTAAATGGCAGCACTGTTGCTCTGTAAAAGGAGCAAAACCTTTCCACAAGGAAAGATGAAGAGGCTGCAGGTCAAGCACAGCCCTGTGCTGCTACAGGGAATGTTTCAAAAGAGACACAACTAAGACAAGATATGCTAATTCTTCCTCCAGTAAAACTGGGGCATTTGGCCTGTAAGAGGTGTCAAACTTCCCAAACCTGAGAGCTCCATTCCCCAGAGCACAGAAGAGCTCAGCCAGCAGGATGGTGTGACTGAGTGGAATACAATCCACTGTGTTATCACCTAGAAGTGAAGCCTACCATCTATCACACTGCAATCCTACACTGAACTAGGACATCTTCCACTCAGGCATTTCCACCACCAACCCAAGATCCAGCACCTTTACCTGGAAGTGGGACTTGTTCCACCCATCCTTCTGAAGGGCATTTCGTAGCTCTTTATAGCTCCAGATCATCTGAAGAATGTGAGATGCTGCTTTTGTTTCTCTGGGAGATTGGCTGCTTTGCAAGATAAAATCAGAGCTTCAGTGCCAAGCTTCAGTGCCAAGCAATGTCAGACTATTCCTATGCTGATACCCAGAACTCCACACAGCCACTGACTGAACCTGTGAGCTATGGTATGTATGTGACTTCTTCATACCTACAGGTATTTGCTGACAAAAACAGAAATCAAAAAGTTGCAAATTGTGCACGTTTTTGGGGATTCACATGTACTGCTAGACAAGCACTGAGGCCAGGGTGACCTTTTTCTCTTGTAGCTATCATCAACAAAAACTAGATTCCATCCTGCCTGGATTTATTCAGGAAAAAAACCCCAACCCAAACAAACAAAAACAAGTTCTATGCCACTTTTCAAACCTTCCCCCAATGTATCTATATCCCTCACAATTCAATGAAGTTGCCCCATAGTTTAGAATACCTTACACAGAGTAATTAAAGTCAGCAAAAAAATAAGCTGTTTTTAAACAGAAGACGAATTTTTATCCATTCCCTACTAGGTCAATACACAAGTGTCCTCTGTAAAATAGAAGAGGCCTAGATTTTTGGTCAGCTCTTTCATAACAATATTTCATAACAATACAACCTAACAAAGCCACTTCAGCTTCTCTCCCAAAAGTTTGCTGAAGACACACCTACAATGTGTAACTGGCTGAGCCACACAACACAAAGTCTCTGAAGCAGCCACAACACAGGTTTGCAACAGAACTGCAGAGGAAAAATTGGTCACTTCAGATGACCAGCACCAGCCCTTTGGCCAGAACAGTCACTGCACATCATTAACCATTTCACCTGACAGACACAGATTTCATCCCTGGCATTTCAGGAATGGAACAGTGCCACAGGAAAAGGCCTCCCACACTGAAACCAGGACCGTGGTTTCACCCCAAATGCTGCCTAAGTGCAGACGTGGTGCTGAGATGTCTCTGACGAGGAGAGAGCACGTCCAGATGTGACTGAAGGGATGACTCAACCAACCTTCATCAAGCAACCCTATGAAAGGTGCTGGCTTTCTACTCTGTAGGTATTAGCTGCTGAAATTAGAGCTCCCAAAGCTCAGGATGCTCCAGCACCTCCTCACAAACCAAAAGCTGCTGTTCATGGAGACATGTTCAGGTTTGCAGGGAGTTCTCATGCATTCTGCTGTCAACTGTCACTCACCTGGACTTGCTGATGGCCACCAGCTTCTGAATGCCCTGGGTCTGGATCAGAGAGCGCGCGTTTTCGGAGCTGTCAGTAATGATTTCGTGGATGGTGTTCAACACTGCAACCACTGTATCCTCCTCCAGGTTCTTTGCAGATCTCTGCTGCCTGCTGGGCAAATTTCTTACCAGCTCACCCATGGCATAACTACCTAGATAGGGGGAAGAGATACCATTAGGCAGCCCTAATAATCAGTTCAGCTTCCCATCCTGAATGACAGAACTCAAGGGCATTTGACATGTCAAGAAAAACTTAACAGTGCACATGTTTTGAACCTCACGACTGTAACTTCACGGGGCATTTATCATTCCTTGTTTCAAGGAGATTGAGAGTTGACACCCAAGACAAAGTCCTTCATCATAAATGCTAAAAAGTATTGAGGGGGGGAAAAAAAGCAATCTTTATTGAGAATTTTACAGCCAGCATCTATCACATTTTGCAAAGCCTGAGGCAAAAAAAACATCCAGTAGCTGCTGCCAATGCCACATATTCATGCTAATACACACACATGGCTTACTCAGCTCAGCCTTGTAAGAGGCCTTCTGGGGCAAGGTGTGCAGTCATGCATTTATTAACCTTCCCCCAACAAAGGTGAGAGTATTTCCTCCTGGGTGCAGTCAGCCTTCTCCATGTACAGGACTGGAGAAAAACCAGGGAGGTTGAACTTTATCCCTCCCAGGTGTCCGTCTGTGCCACTGGCCTGGCTGCACCTCTGAACTATTAAAAAGAGAACCTGATGTAGTAAGGTAGAATCCCAGCTTGCTATTTGCTGGTATCAACTTCCATGGTGGCCCTAAACATGTCACCAATATTTCCTGGCCTGACAAGGTTAAACAGACACATCTGTTAAATACAGAGGCATCTAAGGGAAAACTCAAGTGAATCTTTGAAGATTCCTGCTTAGGGCAGGTGAATGCTTATTTACCACCTTGGACAGGAGCTAGAGCACTGTTAATACTAGCTTGAAGAATATCAAGTTGCTCGGTGTCCAGCTGCTGCAAGTACCACCACAGAAAAAGATGAGAAGGGAAGGAGGAAGCAAAAAACCCAAAGGTAGAACTTTAGAGCTCCCTGCACTTCCCCAGGTTTGCTCAATGTGCCACTGGCCACACTCCCACTACGTCTCTGTGACCACCACGTGTGACCAGCAGCACCAGTGCCATGTCAGCCAGAGCTAAGGAAGAGACAAGAAACCTCTTAACCCTCCCAATCCTCTGCACATCTCCAAACACGCTCCTCCTGCAAAGTCTACATCTGATTTTACTCCCGGGTTAGAACTTCCCTCAAACCACAGCTTGTCTGAGTGGGCTGTAAACACACCCTGAGCCGACAGCCCCCAATCAGTGGCTGCAGGACAGTGGGGGTGGGACTGCACACAGGACGAGCCCTCAGCACGGGGGACAGAGCACGGGAGGCCTCCCAAGGGTCAGGCTGGAGAAGTTGAGAAGGTACCTATGAGATCTTTGTTGCGCCGGTCCATGGACAGGTTCCTCAGGGCGATGGACACGGCCCTCACCACCTTGTCCGAGTCGGACTGGAGCAGCTCCACCAGCACGGGCAGCCCCCGCTCCTTGCGCACCGTGGCACGGATGTAGGTGGACCACTGCCAGCACAACAGGGAGAGACAACACACACTGTGAGTGCAGCCCTGCCCCAGCACTCCTGCCCGTGCTGCAAAGCCATCCTTTCCCTGCAAAGACCAGCCATGGTGGGTGTGCTGGTGCAATCACTGCCTAACCCATCATTCAAGTTCATCAGGCACCAAGGAAGAAAGGAGGTAGAAGTTCATCCTGCAGTGAGGAAGCTGCTGGGGAGAGGGGACAGAAATGGGCAGAAGGAGGGTCATCCACCAGCAGCTGTTCTGTACCTACCTCAGTGGGAAACACAACCCTCTGAATCAGGAAAAAAAAGAGGTCATTTGGAAGAAACAGTAAAGCATCTGAAGCATCTGTTATCTTCCTCCTCCTCCTATTTCATGCCTTTATTCTGTTTCATGAATGACTTTAAACTAAGCTGGATTCCAGACAGCTGTGAAACCCCATCCTGCTGACCCTCAGGCCGCTGATGAGTCCCCTGTGCCATGTGATTCCAGAAATGACCAGGCCAACCTTTGGGAGACCTGCCTGATCAGTGCTGGGGGTGCTTTAGAGAGGATATCAAAGGACTCTGGGAGTGCAGCTTCCTAAGTAATCTGACAAGCCAAATTAAGTATTCAGGACACTTAATTATCTAGCACCAAGGTTTTCTGAGTGGACAAAGTAATGGTTAAGTGGCTTAAGTAGTAAAACTTGTTCATGGTTAACTGTCATGAGCTCAGTGACACTTCCACTACGTAAACCATCTGTCCAGAAGATGCAAAACATCTTCAGTGGGCAAATGGAAATAAATTCTTTGGCTTTCCCACCTCCCTCCTTTTTAAAGGAGATGCAAATGAAAAAGTAACAGTGCCCTTACAATGGGGCATTGCTTTGTTCTTTACTCACAGAAAGGAAACCAAGAGAAGGCTGCACTCACCGTCCAGTTGCCAGCACTGAGATTCTGCAAAGCTCCTGCTGCAGCTTCCAGAGTGTTGAAGTTCTGACTTTCAGTGAGGATGGAGAGGTACAGTCGGACCACATCTGGCTGGTACAGTAACTCAAAGCCTGCAGGGGGGGAGAGGAGAACAGAAGCAAGAGAAGCAGAGAAGACAGTGTATGAACAAGCACAGAGCATACCTGTACTTAACCACATAAGAGAACAGCCAAGAGGAAGCTGCTGCCCCACAGGAAGAAGGGCTTCTACCACATATCCAGGACATTCCATCCACAGCTGTGGAAAACAGCAGAGACAGCAACTCCTGCAGAGAACGTTCCCAAGGGCCCTTTGCTTGTCTTCAGGCTGACAATTCTCTCTGAAATCTGTGCTATCTACACACTGCCTAGCATGCATGTAATGACAAGGGGACAAGAGACAAGTTTTGCCTGCAACAATTCTTATTGCTTCTCTAGACTGGGCTGCAAATTCACCCTGCACTCCTGTTTTCATTCAAATCTCTCTCCCTGCCTTTGCAGACACAAAGAGCAGGGCCAAGGAGAACAAGCTACACCATCCTATCAGCCACCCCCTCTGCACACAGGGGACAAAGACAGAGGCAAGATGTCCAAGTGAACTAGAACTCCCAGCTGGGAGGGGCAGGGAGAAACACTGATTCCAGCTCAAATATTCAGTAAAGAAATACTCTGGCATTGTACCACACTGGGAGCTGAGACAGACACACCTGTCACCTGCCTGTCCCAGAGTCACTGCATCAGCTTTGCAGTTAAGCACGACAGCAATGAGAGCTATCCCCAGCCTGGGCACCCATTGATGCTCAGTGACTGACAGGAGCATCCCTGCCCTGACTTCCTCATCCACAGGATTAGGACTTACCCATCCACCCACATTAAAAAGAGGGTGTTAGGCAAGAACTTCATCATTCCAAGTTGCTGCATAATTTGAAGCAATTTTTATCCATCTTTCTCCACCAAGTGCAGCATGAGACACTGCATCAGAGAGGGCAGAGCATGCCAAGCACCCTGTTAAAGGACTGGCCACACTGGGTGCTGTTTGGAGTGTGTAACAAAAAGCTGACCCCCCTGAAGTGTTTTGGTGAGGGCAGGAAGGCACAAGCAACCATGGTCAACACAGCCTCATGTACAGGCACTGCAGCAGGTTTGGTGGCTGTTGGGCTGTTTGCACTGAGCAAGGTTCAGCAGGCATTACCTAGGAAAGGATTTTGAGAAAAATATGACATCAAAGAAAGCATAAAGGTGTGAAGGAACTTGGGCAAAGAGGGAATTTGAAGCTTGTTTTGAGCAGAAAAATTTTTTGATTATTATTTGTACACATGAAAAGGATGTTTTTTACCTCACCAGATGCTGTCCTAGAAGTGGAACATAATTCAAAGCAAGTTTTCCACTAGGAAGACAGAAAACCTACAAACACAAATCACTTCCTCTCTTCAGTACTTGCTTTTCAAAAATCACCCATCTCTCATAGACATATTTTCCAGCATGTATCACAGATTATCATATTTTAGACATCTCAGATCAAACCTACAAGTAAGAAAACTAAGCCATGCTATCCCGTCCTGTGGATATTCTATCATTTTTTTCCTTTTAAAAATTCTCTTTTGGTAAAGGTTTTATGAAATTAAAGCCTTGGTTTTAAATCTGCTTCTCCACATTCTTCATAGCAGTTACTGCTGTGGGGCTATGTGAGTCAAGGTCTCAGAACTCAGCACTACTTTAAACCTTGTACAACACCACCCATAAACACAGGCTGTGTCAACCCCTGGGAATACAGGGGGTGCTTATCCCACTGAAAATAAGAAAACACACTTTAGCCCAGGGTTTCTTTGCTCCATACCAAAACACTGATGTAGGTATGAGGATCCACAAGCTGCTGTGTGCTGGCTCCTGCTTTCTGTGCTCAGGCTCTCACAGCCAGCCCAGCACCCTGCACCCTCCTCCAGAGTGAACCTGCTCCAGGGCTGGGACTGCTGGTAATGCCACCACTCGTGTGCCACACACGACACCCCACAGATACGTGCAACTGCAACAGGTGGCAATCCCCAAAGGCATCCTGCCAATCCACACCACCAACCTGCCTCTTCTGCAGTGTCCTCTCCCTGCACTGGGATCACTGCCCTCTGTATTGAATGCAGAGGAAAAACTGTCGTTACTTAATCCATGAGGCATGAGCAGCTGTACAGCTTTTCTCCATTCCTCGAGTAAGGCTGTGATTATCTGACTCCACTACAACCTTCATATCACCTTTTTCCCCTGCCACTTCACAAGGTGAATTGGCAATCTAAGAACTCCTCAAGAAAAAACACTGCTGATAAGCACACAGTGTTCCTTTCCTGAACACTGACACTTCAAACCTCTTAGGACAGCCTGCTGGAATTTTGACACTGTTATCTTTTAGGGAAGCTTTGCTGAAACGTAAATCAGATCAGCAGAAGAGATGAGAAGGCAGGTTCATTAACAGATGATGTTCATACAGAACATTTGGTGCTCCTGTATGTGAGCTCAGACTCACCTGTGGTTCCCCGGGATGCAATTGTTCAGCCAGCCTGTTTTACAGTGCCCACCTACAACCTGGCACACTTGGGCACAGCCCAACACGTTCACCCCGTGCTGTTACCTAAATGCAGTCTGTGATGGGCCCTTTCTGTCAGTCTGCACATTCTTTTTGGCTGGACACTCTTCCCTCTTCAGCACCTCCCTGTGTGTGAACACCAGGATGCTCCCACCCCCTCACCTCTGCTTCCCTCCTGTGGCCACTGCTGCATTCCAGTCACGCCTCCCCCCGCTCCCTGTCATTACCTCTCTCCATGCATGAAAGCCTCTCCTTTTTCCTACTTACTAATGTAAGAGCATCTCAAAAATGCCTTCACCCCCTCTCCTCAATAATGCACAGCATTTGCTCTACCAACTACCAGTACCTTCCTGCTTTGGGGCTCAGTTCCTTAGCCAGCTGGTGGATGATTCCCACCTCACTCCACACATCCCCCTTTCCAACCATATTTATGCCTCTGCCCTGCTGGCATCTCTTTTAAATGGAGTCAGCAAGGGCTACACACCACAGAGGGAACTCCAGCCTCCCTCCTGTCTGCCCTGCTCCCCTCACTGCTGCATCTCCCAGCACTGCAGCACTTCTGTCAGCCTGGCTCTGCCACAGAAAGGCAGCAGGATTTGCTACAGCCGAGTCTGAAGAATGTCCCTCATGGATGCTGCTCATTAGCAGGGATGGGAACCTAATAGTGAGCAAGTTACTGCTGCACTGGAGGGTTTCCCCTCATTGACAGCAACCTGACACTTCTCATAAGCATTATAGTGCCTTAAAAAGAAACAAACAAGTTTCATATTTTCTCCATCTGCTTCCTGTCCTAATGAATCCAGCTCTGCTATTTATAGGATGCAATTTGTCTGAATTATTATAAATTTCCTTCCAGTGTTGCAGGGAGGCCTCTAACATTTTTCCACAAAGCGCTTCAAGCATGTTCCTGGAAGCACAGCTGGTCTCACCTCCATTAAGCACCTGCTTCTCTTCAAAACTGATTTCTTTAATTTCAAGATCATCTTAATTATTTTTTCAGGTAATGCTGCTTTTATGCAATATATGGCTAACTGCCTATATCCATTTTTGTTAATGAAAATGAGGAAAGAGGGTCATTAGTGATAGATAATACATCAAATGACAACAACATTCACTGTTTTTCTTGGTCTTTAAAAAGCTGTTTTAATTATAGCCCAGACTCAGCACTGCCCTTAAAAAGATAATTTTCCTCAAATAAATGAAACTTTTCCATCAGTTACGGATTTGTGCTGAGTTGCAATCTACACTGTTTCCTCCTGGAAAAGCACAGAGATAAGTCATTTATTGCTTTTTTTTCACTGCAGAGTAAACAAGTTCCCTGTGTCAGCTTTTGCCTTTCAGAGACACACCTGGAACACTGATGGCACTGTGAGGAGGGTCTGAGCATCCCCCAGTGACCACAGACTGTCACAGAGGAACACCTTCCACTGAGACTCACCTCCACCAGGGCTGTAGTCCCATCCTTCTGAGAAAAAGGAAGATGAGCTTCTTCACAGCAGAGCTGCTAAAAATTGGCCAATGGATTAGTTCTGTGTGAGGCTCCACTACCAGGAGGTGGCACGTGGATTATCCTCCACCTGCCCACAGAACAGTGACAGCACAGACAGCAGTGTCAGTCCTGAAATCACCTGAGGAATGAGCTGGGGCTGATTAGCCATCTCCATCCCTTCAACCCTCAGTCCCTGTGATGAGAATGATGCTGCAGTTCTGGATTATCTTTTCCACAAAACTATTTGCTTTCATCCTGGCAATGCTGATCCTGTGCCTGTCCTTAGCTCCATTCTGGCAAGAACACAGGACACTGCACCAGGTGCCCATCCCTGATATACCTGCCTGAGCCCAATTTCAGACAACTCTCCCTGGAGCAAGGCTGCTAAATCTATCCCCCTTTACCACCCATTCCATTTAGGATTTATTCTCCTCCTACAGATGCACACTGGTCAGATGAGAGATCTACTGCTGCAGCAGAAACAGGCTGCTTCCTTTCCTAGCCATACAAACCCCCTGGGCTGCTGTGTAAAACAGTGGCAAATTTCCTAAGAAGCTGGAAGGATGCTGGCAACACTGCAGGAAAATAACAACGTCTAATCCTAGGGGGAAGAAAAACCAAACCAACACTTAAGTGAACCCTGGCAGCAACTCATCCTTGCAGTGTGCACAGGCAGGTGCCCACCAGTGCTTTGATTCTCACTTACTGCACTCGGGTCCCCAAGGCAGAGAAGGTGCAGCACCACCCAGACTCCTTTTGGGATGCCACTACAGCCAGAGGTGCCCTCCGTGCCCCCAGCCCCAAGGGGAGGGCAGGTCGGGGAGCTCAGGGGCTGCTGTGCTGGGCAGTGCCAGCAGCGGTGGCAGCGACCGGCAGATGGAGCGAGAGGAGCCCGGAACGCGCCTTCCCTGCAAGGTCACTACTGAGACTTGGCAGAGTAAAGAAAGCAGCTCCCTCAGCAAACAGAAGCTATGAGCCAAAAGAAAAAAAAGAGGAAAAAAAAAAGTAAAGAATCACGTCAGTAAAAGAAAC